GTCAAGGATAATTTCTATAATGTTATCCACAATTAAACACAGGTGGTGCTCACATACTGGGGTGTCATGCCTTTTACTGAGACAGTCACAGTGAGTTGGGCTGGTCATTGAGCAGAATGCCAGACAAAGGTAAATGTTCTGATGAGAGGTCAAGTCTGAGGTGCGCTCCCATGACATTACAAGGAATCAATGATGAGGATACTCTGAAGACTTCATCGACCCGAAGTGGCTTTCTTCTCCTCCCATCGTGAAGGGTTCCTTCAGCAGCTTCTGGGTGTTCCAGCAATCCGATGTGATCATCTTTTCCCAGCGCGGAGGTCTCGCCCTTGCTTTGGAGGCAGCTTCTGGGTTTTCCAACAGCCCAGCGTGGAGATCTCATCTCGGCCCAGCGTAGCTACGTTGGCCCAATTTTCCAGCGTACCCCGAACTCAGGAGCTGTTATTTGAACTGTGATGAGCTTTTACTTCTTTTTTCTTCTTATTAATGACTTTTCTTAATTAATTTAGGCACCGTGGTATGGCGACTCAAGAGTTTTCACTTTTATTTTTAAAAATACATGTGACTATAAATTGCTATTCTATTCCATTTTTAGAAGTTTAGATATTGATTTCTTCTCCTGAGACAAGCTGTCCAGTGTTGCTGTGCATGGCACAAATCAAATAAAGAGAAAACACAAAGACGGTCCGATTACTTACCAAGTACCCTCCAGAACCCTAACAAGTGTACTACATGATGAATTTGGTTGGTATCAGCTCAAAGAATGAAGAAAAAAAAAAAAAATTAAAAATTGGGCACAATCCACAATTTTCAAATACTATGCTGAATTACAATGTAGATAAACTTATACCCTGAAGTCAAATATTGGCATGGGTGAGAGAGTGGTCACCATTTTGAAATACCGTCAACTCCAGATGCAAAGTGAGTGCATGTTTTAAATTCTCACGCAGCCCATATCCCCTACTTACGCCCAAGTGTAAGCTACCAGTAAACAAAATATGCATTTAGAAGGGAGAAAAATTGCATTGGAATAGGAATGAGAGCACTCAATGTTGTAGCTAAAAGGGGAGTTGGCTTATGTGCCAAATATATGCAACATTTTGGGAACTGGGTAAAAGGAGCTGTCTTACATGTCACGTCAACTCGTAGTCTGGATGTATAGCAATGTCCATGAATGGATAACTGTCAAATTGTTTGTGCTGTCCCTGTTGCTTTATCGGATTCTATTAAGATGGTAACCTTTCACCTTTCTTCATTCATTAGACATGGATGTTACTGGTTGGGCCAGCAATTATTGGTCTTCCCTAGTTGACTTGAGAAGCTGCCTTCTTCAATTGCTGAAGCCATTTGGTGTAGTTAGGCCCATCGTTCAGGAGGGCTTTCCAGGATTTTGACCCAGCGACACTGAGGCAATGGCAATATGTTTCCAAGTCAAGATGGTGAGCAACTTGGAGTGGATCTTGCAGGTGATGGTGTTCCCATGATTCTGCTGTCCTTTTCCTTCTAGATGGAAGTTGTGGTCATTTGGAAGATGCTGTCGAAGAAGCCTTGGTGAATTTCTGCAGTGCATCTTGTAGGTAGTACACACTGTTGCTATTGAGCGTCGGTGGTGGTGGTGGAGGGAGTGAGTGTTTATAGATGTGGTGCCAAACAAGCAGGCTGTTTTGTCTGGGATGGTGTGAGGCTTCTTGTGTTGTTGGAGCTGCATTCATCCAGAGAAAAGTGAAAAATATTCTATCACAATCTTGACTTGTCTTGTATATGGTGGATGGGCTTTGGGGAATTTAGGATGGGAATTGCATACTGTTGGATTCGTTGGCTATAAAGATCAGGTCAGAGGCACAGTACTTCTCTGCCTGGTCCAGTCCGGTGTCTCGTCGACAGTAACCCCCAGGTGTTGTGGGGTTAGTGATGGAGATGCCTTTGAATCTCCAGGAGGAACGGTTAGAATCTGGAGATATGCCTTGCCTGACAATTTTGTGGCACAAATCTCACTTACCATTCATCACCCCAAACGTGTAAAAGGTTTTGAGATAGTAGGAACTGCAGGATGCTGGAGAATCCGAGACAACAAGGTGCAGAGCAGGATGAACACAGCAGGCCAAGCAGCATCATAGGAGCAGAAAGGCTGATGTTTCGGGCCTAGACCCTTCATCATTTTCTGATGAAGGGTCTAGGCCCAAAACGTCAGCCTT